AAAAAAAAAAAAAAAAAAAAAAAAAAAAAGAAATGATCAGTAATGCAGTATTCTTAACATCTGACTTTTCAGAGAAGCATAACATTAATGAGAAAAGGAATCAGCGTAGGAAGTCTAGAGGCATGTAAACATAAGAGAAATGGAGAAAATAAAAATAACAGGATCACTAGAAGAGTGCTTTTGCTCAATTTTATCCTAAGTCCTTGCAGACAACTTCCTCAGGCACCTCAGGAATGAGAAGAGTGGAGCAACGGTGAAAATATTCTGAGGTTTACATGGACTCACGTTTCAGCCTCACCACGTAGTCTTTGTGCAACTTTGGGCAAGTTATTTAACTTCTTTGAGCTTCTGTCTTCCCATCTGTAGACTGAAGATACTACTATTGACTGCTTCAAATTCTTACAAGGTTAATAGGATTAAGTATGTCACGTGTCCAGCACAGTGCCTGCACATAAAGGTACTAAATAAATGTTTCGTGGTAAGTGCTGGGCATGTGTATGGGATACAAAGATATGTCAGACAGTACTGTCTCAAAAGTTTATAATTCGGTAGGGAAGAGAAGCATATCAACGCCAAAATAATAATAAAAGGCAGAATAAAATAAGTACTGACTAATGATTCCAGAAGTGGGGAGTGAGAGAGCAGAGAATGAGTATCTGCCTCAGCTGTTCATCCTGGAGGATAGTCCAGGGCAGAAAGCATTTCAGCTGGCCTAAGAGCACAAGAAGGATTTGGCTGGAATAGGGAATGGAGCCTGTACAAAAGACATTCCAGGATGCACTAACATCACAAACAGAGGCCATGCTTGGCGTTATGTGGCAAGTCGAGCTCACCAATGGCCAAAAGACTGACTCTAATCCAATCTGGAAGGCCCCCAGGTGCTGCTGATCTGGCCTGGAGCAGTGAAAGAATAATAGCAGGCCTCCTGCAGAGCAGACTGCTGGCGACCAGAAGGGTGGTGGTTCTGAAGGTGGGGAGAAGAAACTCACAGATGTCGTAAATGCACAATTTTAAGCACACTGGCTTCTGAGAAACGCAGATTAACCTGGCAGAAAAGGGAAGGAAGTCAAGACTTTGGGGAGAACTACAAACACGCAAAAACAGCACTGCTTCACACCCAGGCTCCTCCCAGGCCATCAGAGTCCAGCCATTGCTGCCCCATATTCCCTGGTAGAGGGGTGGGCACAGGGGAAGGCAGTCATGGGGTGAGGGGAGGTGAGTCTGAGAAAAGCTCAGTTTTCTCCTCCGGTCTGCCATGACTAGACTGTATGAGTTAGTTGAGTCAGTGCAGACCTCTCTGGAGGTTTATCACTGCTCTGTGTATCTCACGGGGTTGTTGGGAGGATATGGGGGAAATGACATTTGCTCTGAGGATTAGTGAGGTCTCCTTGCTCTCTGTGTTCCCTGGCCCAACATGGCCATTCCTGAGGGCTGTATGTCTGGGGTGCCTGTTAAAAGACAGATTAGCAGCCATGTGGGGAAGAAGGTGTTAAACAGAGATGCTAATAAACTGTTTCTGTATGAGCGAACAGAAAAGTGAACATAATATTTTAGAACGAGGATTATTTGGGAGACAAAACCATTACTAAAGGTATTTGGGGAATGCTACCCTCTCAGTTTTTCTGGAAGTATAAATTTGTGGCAGAGCAGTTTCAGACTTTCAGGGTGCTCTTTAAATCATCTCCTTGTAAAAGAATAGAGATGATGTTCTGTTTTAAAGAGGTTTGAATTCTCAGAGTTAAAATATTTAAGCAATGTAAGTTTCAGGGGGAAAAAAACTGAATTACATTGCCTTCTTCCTAGTTCCTCCCCACAAAATACTTGCATATTCTGAAGTCGACTGGTTAGCATTTGGAAATAGGCTACTGAACAAATTCCATCTTTTCACGTCAAACCTCAATATGCCATAGATATTTACATCTAAGAGGTGCCAATCTGATATTTTATGATGTTGTAAATTTTATGTTTTGGATGATTCTTAGCATTAGAGAATTGAAATTGAGGTCGAAACTGTTTTCCAAATGTAAGCCACATGGCCATAGCCAGGGCAGGATTAGGCCTCTTTGTATTTTGCTGCTGAGCAAACTGTCTGAGACCTATAAAGAGGAAGCACTTGGAATATTTTTCTTAAATGTGGTCTGTTGATTACGTGTTGCTTCTCTCTGATAAAATATTACAGCACACTTCATTTTAAAAGCCAGCTTATTAAAACATTTGGAATAGCAGCATATGTCTAACTCCTGGGAATTAGAAAAGGAAAACAAATGAACAATTTTAAGTGTGCGAGTTCCCCCTCCTCACCTACCCCCTCCCTTTTCTTCCTTCTTGGACGTCTCTCTCACAGGTGTGGACTACTCTGGCCACTCTCTGTGGCAGGGCATCATCACACGGTCAGAACTGGGTTTCCTTTCTTCTGGGAACGACTTCTCCCACAGACACCGCGTTCAGATTTTGGGCTCTCAAGGATGGCCAGCCAGTGTCTTCACCTTCTGCTGTGCCAGACAGAACCAGACAGTCCCTTCCCGGAGTGGCAGGGAGAGGGGAGAAGGAGGTCAGGGAAAGGAACAGACTGGAGTGGGCAGCAGGAGACTGGGAGGTGGAAAGTTAAACAAACAGGGAAATAGATGTCTGACCAATTTCTTGTTGCTTTCTTAAGCAGCTGTTTACCTTGAACAGTGAGGTATGCTGAACTTTCCACGGAGCCCTTCTGGTTGGTGGCTTTGCAGTGATAGACACCTTCATCCTCTTCTGTGACTCTTTCAATAAACAGCGTGCTGCTTCCTGGTCCTAAAATAATTCCTGAGGAGTGTGAGATGTTTAGATTAGTGGGCCTGGATGACAAACAAAAAACAGCTACTTCTGTAACACAGCCTTCTTCCTATCATTATGCATTCAGACAAGGAAATCCGAGCTCTAGTGAACCTGGGGCAGGGTTGATTATTTGTTTTCTCTGGGTCCAGGCTTTCTTTTGCTTTTCTTTCCTTCTTTTTTTTTTTTTTTTTTTTTTTTACAAGCTTTCTAATAGCACCTTCTCCACCCAGCAGAGCTGTGATCCTCAGCTTCGGAGATGCAGATCCACCCACCCTGTAGAAAGAAACGCGAGGCAGCTGCCATGCCCAGCTTGAAAGTTGCAGATATCAAGAAGGCAGCATATCTAATAATAACAACTATCATTGACTCAACGCCCTCTATGTGCTCGGCATTACGTGACACACTTTCGTACCTTGACATTTACAACCAGTCTGTCAGCTAACAATGTCTTCCTCTTACAAACGAGGAAACTGAGATTCTGTGAGGTTAAGTAACTTCACCAAGAGCATGCAGTTTGACTGAAAGCACATTTGTGGCATATGGGTCAAAGGAAATAATATTTCATTTGTCATAAAGCCTGGTGAGTCAATATAGCCTAGTGATAACGAGCTTGCCTGGGCTGTGTTTTAATCCATGCCTTAGCGCTTCAAGCTTTGTCACTTAAGCAAGTTACTTGATCTTTCTAAGTTTCAGTTTCCTTAATCTTAAAATAAAAATGAAAGTAATTCTTACTCTATAAATGAAAAAATAAATGGCAAGCCCATGGCACCTAGTAAGTGCTCAGTAAATGTAAGCTTAAGGGTTACTACAGAGCATTGTGTAGTAGAAGGAGCCCCAAGAATTTTCAGACCCCTGAAAGGCTTCAAGACCTTGAAGCTTCAATACCTTGTACTATCACCAAGTGTTTGTTGAGCATTTACTCTGCCATCAGTTCATGTTACAAAAAAAACAGCAGGCTAAGATGTGGTCAGGCTAAGACATGGTATCTGTTGAGAAGGAAAAATTAATTCATACCAAACACACACATATACATTCTCTCTCTCCCTCACATGCTCAACACAGACACTCACACACACAAGCCAGCAAATAGAAAATATTTAATGAATGAGAATGAGTGAATGTAGCACAGTATAACTAATTAAGTGGAAAGTCTGGCACAGGGAAGGAGATCAGTAAGGAAGGGTGCACTTGGGGAAGGCTGCATAGAAGAGGTGGGCCTCGAGTTGAGGTTTGAAAGATTGTCAGAGGTGAAGTGAGAAAGGAAAGCATGAGAAATGGCATGATGTAGAAATAAACAGGATTGAGTAATTGTTCCAGGATAGTGATAAAACAGGCCTGGCCAGACTATAGGCTGTATTTCGTTAGTTTAAATAGTTTGTGTATTTCTCCTGATTATGAAAGATGTACTTAATATAGAAAACTTGAGAAACATTTGAAAGCTTTAAAAAAGAAAATGTAATATTACAAAGCTATGATAATCAAAACAGCATGGTACTGTTATAAAAACAGATTCATCAACCAATGGAATAAGCGAGGACCCAGAAATCAACCCAAAGATCTATGGTCAGTTGATTTTTGACAAGGTACCAAGAACACGCAATGGGGAAAGGATAGTCTCCTTAATAAATGGTGTTGGGAAAACTGGATATCTACATACAGAAAAATGAAAATGGACCCTTCTCTTATCCCTTATATAAAAATGAACTCAATATGGATTAAAAACTTAAATGTAAGACCTGAAACTATAAAACTACTAGAAGAAAATTTGTGGGAAAAACTCCATGATATTGGTCTGGGAAGAGATTTCTTGGCTATGACCCCAAAAGCACAGGCAACGAAAGCAAAAATAGGCAAATGGGATTGCATCAAACTAAAAAGCTTTTGCACAGCAAAAGACACAATTAATAGAGTGAAGAGACAACCAACAGATTGGGAAAAATATTTGCAAATCATACATCAGATAAGGAGCCAATATCCAAAATATACAAGGAACTCAAATTACTCAGTAACATATAGGAAATATATAGGTAATATATAGGAAAACCAATAATCCTATTTAAAAATGGGCAAAGAAATTGAATAGACATTTTTCAAAAGAAGACAGATGGCCAGTAGATATATGAAAAAAAAAATACTCACCATCTCTAATCACAGAAATGTAAATCAAAACCAAATGAGGCCAGGTGCAAGTGGCTCACGCGTGTAATCCCAGCACTTTGGGAGGCCGAGGTGGGCGGATCATCTGAGGTCAGGAGTTTAAGACCAACCTGGCCAACATGATGAAAGCCAATCTCTACCAAAAATACAAAAATTAGCGGGGTGTGGTGGCGCATGCCTGTAATCCCAACTACTCAGGAGGCTGCAGCAGGAGAATCACTTGAACTTGGGGGGCAGAGGTTGCAGTGAGCCAAGATCGTGCCACTGCACTCTGGCCTAGGTGACAGAGTGAGACTCTGTCTCAAAAAAAAAAAAAAAAAGAAAAAAACAAATGAGGTAGCACCTCACACCTATGAGATTAGCTATTATCAAAAAGATTAAAGATCACAAGTGTTGACGAGGGTGTGGAGAGAAGGGTCCCCTTATACATAGTTGGTGGCATTATAAATTAGTACGGCCATTTTGGAAAACCATATGGAGCCTCTCAAACAACTAAAAAGAAAACTGCTATGTGATCTAGCAGTCCCACTACTGGTTATCTATCCAAAGAAATTGAAATCAGTATGCTGAAGAGATGTCTGCATTCCCATGTTTATTGCAGCATTATTCACAAGAACCAAGATATGGAGGCAACCTATGTGTCCATCAATGGATGAATAGATTTTAAAAATCTGGTGTATATACACAATGGAATACTACAGCCTTAAAAAACAATAGGAAATTCTGTCATTTATGACAATATGGATGAACCTAGAGGACATTATGTTGAGCGAAATAAGCCAGGCACTGAGAGACAAATGCTGCATGATTTCATCTATATGTGGCATCTAAAAAAGTTGAACTCACAGATATAAAGAGTAGAGTGATGGCTACCAGAGGCTGGGGTGGGGAGAGTTGGATACAGAAAGAGAAGATATTGGTCACTGGGTACAAAGTTACAGTTAGATAAGAGGAATATGTTCTGGCATTCTATTACACAGCAAAGTGACAACAGTTAAAAATAATGCGCACTTCAAAATAGCTAAAAGGGAGGATTTGAAGTGTTCCCACCACAGAGAAATGATATTTGAGGTGATGAGTATGCTAATCAGGCTTATTCGATCTTTCCCATTGTATACATGTATTAACATTAAAACGTCACACGGTACCCCATCCATATATATAATTATTATTATTTGCCAATTAAAGAAATGTAAACAGTTGAGTGCAGTGACTCATGTCTGTAATCCCAGCACTTTGGGAGGCTGAGGTGGGCAGATCACGAGGTCTAGGAGTTTGAGACTAGCCTGGCCAATATGGTGACACCCCAGCTCTACTAAAAATACAAAAATTAGCTGGGCATGGTGGCTTGCACCTGTAGTCCCAGCTACTCGGACGGCTGAGGTAGAAGAATCGCTTGAACCCGGGAGGTGGAGCTTACAGTGAGCCGAGATGGTGCCACTGCACTCCAGCCTGGGTGACAGAGCAAGTCTCCATCTCAAAAAAGAAAGAAAGAAAGAAAGAAATAAAGAAAGAAAGAAATGTAAAAAACGCACAAACTCCAAACACCTACAGTCTCACCTCCCAAATGTTGTTTCTTTAGTCTTTCTAAAGTGTATTTTCTGAAAACACAGTTTGTTCATTTATATAACAAATTTTTTTTAGCTCCTACTATGCCCTAGACACTATTCTAGATACTGGTGACGAACTGTCAAGCAAAAGAAATCCTTGCCTACAAATTCTAGTTTTGGGGAATTACAAAGTGAGCATCAACAGATTAAGGTAGTAGAGAAACCAGGGGAGACAACAATGAATTAAGTATGAACAAAAGATCTGAGGGATGGAGACAAATTATGAGGGTAATAACATGCGTATTTTCATAAGAAGGGAAATAAATAGCAAGAGTGGAGAATGATCAGTATCGTCTAAAAAATAAAAAACACAAAACTTTGCTGATTTGATAGATGAAAATGATTGTTTTAATTTGTATTTCTTTGAACATTTTTTCATGTGTGTATTAGCCATTTTTATTTCCAAAGACCTGTTTTGAGTAGGTGACTGGAAAAGGCGAATTCAGATTAAGGAGAGCTTTGAAATCCTGGTTCAGGAGTTTCAATTAAATGTAAAAGGAAAGGGAATCATGAAGATTTCTGAGCATAGTGAAAGCGACATTTAAGGACGTTCAGTCTAGAAGGAGAATACAGGCTGGACTGGAATGAGGAAAGCATAGCACTTGCAAGTTCTGCTTATCAGTTGTAATTCAGGCAAGGAATGATGAAGTCTCAAACCTGGATGGTGGGAACTTCCTGCTTGACAGGAAGTATAGAGGAAGAAATGGAAACAGACACTTTGTAGAAACAACCTGTAGGAATTGGTGCTTTACTGGATACAGCAATAGAAAAAGAGAGAGATGAGTCCAAGGTGATTCCAATATTTTAAACCCAGATAACAGGAACAAAATGACAGCTCTTCCCCAGAACCTTGGCTAAGTCACTTAATCTCTTTGGGGTTATTTCCTTATCGGTAAAATGAGAATAATACCTGCTCCACCTATTTCATGATCAATTGAGATAACTTAAATGGAAGCATTGAAGCTTTGAGAAGTATAAGATATAGTGTAAGTGGCAATTACAGAAAATAAAAGTGTGGCTGTACAGTTGCTCGAGGTCAATGAACATTTATAATAGCAGCTATCTTGCTACCTACAATCATTACAGTCATCTCCATTGCAGCAGATCTGAAACTCAGCCAATTTTCTATCACTCAAATCCCCAACTCATGCCTGTAATCCCAGCACTTTGGGAGGCTGAGGCGGGCAGATCGCTTGAGTCCAGGAGTTTGAGGCCAGCCTG